CTTCCCTCTTCAGCGAGGGTAGAAGTTCCAAGCTACAAGATTTGCTTGGCCTGATCAATAGAACTTCTACTTCAGGAGTAGGCTTCTTTAGCTTCTACTATGTGAGGTTGTGTGAAGTTGTGATCTATCGGCATTACTGTTCTACTAGAGAGTAAATGACTGATGGCTTATACACTTCATGTTATTCTATAATTGAGCTGTGTATACTCTTATACTGTTAAAGTACTGAAGGACATGAATAGAGAAAATTTTCATGATATCTGTATAAGTTAGTGAGCAATGTTATTTACTATTACTGTTATAGGTCGGAATGCAATGGTGTACATCTACTTACTGGGTTGTTAGCTCATTCCGCTCACTTTCATTCTGGTAGAGTGATAGTTTCTGGCTCGGGTAAGAGGGCAACTGTTTGGGTGTTGAGATGCTTAAAGCTTGAAGCCGGTTGAAGGGTGTCTGAGAAGCTTGTCATAGTAGGTGTTGGTGATGGCGTCACGGAGATGTTTGTTTTATGTTTACCTTGTATTTTGTGGCCAGTAGTGCCTTGAACTGATTGTAAAGCAATTTTGGAGAATGATTGTAAATGGATATGACTTTGTTTTTTGTTAAATATCTGTCTTACTGACTGGATTTTAATTTTCTTCGTGATTTTCTCTGGATTCAACCTTTATATGCGTTGAGCCACTCTTACCTGAGCTGCGTTTGCCACCTCATGTCACGGTCCCGCACTCTGTCGCCCTCCAATATGTACGGTATGTAAGCATATATCATGAAACGCGAGTTATAAACATTGAGCTCATGGAAGTAAATGAATAATAAAAATAGGGTGCGGTTTGTATAGAGTCGAGGCTCTAAACAATTAAATTACAGCCCACCGTCAAATAGTGTCAAGAAATATGGTTTGCATATTGAAAATTTTTGTGATAGCCTTAAAATATATTTTCATCTTTAATTATAAAATTTAAAGCTTCAAAAATAGTGTATATCAAGCAAATCTATGAAAACTTGAAAATCTTGAAAATTGACGGTCCAAAAATGCTTACAAGATGCACTATTTTTAAAACTTGAAATCCATTTTTTTCTCATGTCTATGAATCTTGATTTCTAGATGATTAATTTGATCATATTTGGGCATCAAAACAACATCTTCTAGTTAAATTTTTGAGGTAGACTCTAATTTGATTGTTTAGATCCTAGGCTTTATATAAACTTTTCACATAAAAGTAAGACAAATCATTGTATATTTCTCGAACTTCTTGACACGACTCAAGCTGTCCAATTTGAAATGGGATGGCTAGTGCTAATTGTAAACTTATTGTAACAAAGGTAAATGGTGTCATATTATACAATCTCTTAAATTTAAACACAACCAACAAAAATAAAACTGAAAAATGATCTTAGTGATCGTTATGTTAAAAAGAAAGAAAAATAAAATAAAATAATAATAATAATAATATTAATAATATTAATAATAATAATAATAATAATAATTAT